CCTCTGGCCAGCCGCAGGCACCCAGGCCCCGGGCCGGCTTTGCCCGGGCTGGCCGCAGCCACAGGGGACCATGGGCGGGAGGCTTCACCGGGGCCACAGCCACAGTCACCCAGGACTGTGGGGCAGGCGGCTTGTCCCTCTCCCGGGCCACAGGCGCAGGCGCAGTTGCAGGCACCTGAGACTGGAGGGCGGGCGGCTTGTCCGTCTCCTGGGCCACAGCCTGGCTGGTCCTTATTCCTCTCTCGAGAGCTCATTTGTGCCTGGCTGGTCCCCATTCCTCTCTCCCCAGTGTTGGGTGTCTGAACAGTTACGACATGATGGCATGAGGGCATGAGGGTGTGACGGTGTGAGGGTGTGATGACCATTTACATATTAGCTCTTTATTATATAGTATTTGTGATTTTAACAATTATCAAGTGTATAATACAGCAGCATTAATTACATTGGCAATGTTGTGCAACCATTATCACTCCTATTTCCAAAACTTTTACCTCTGGGTGATTTGAATCTTTAGTATATCTTTCAATCTACTGGTTTTCCTTTTCCCTCTCTTTGTTTTTCCTTGCAATTTATTTGTTAAAGAAAATCAGGTAATTTCTGCTATTACCTGATTTTCCCAGAGTTTGGATTTTTCTATTTCATAAGTCTTTCATCAGGAGGCATATAATGTCTGGCTGTTTCTCTTTTTGTGATGTCAGCAACCATTTATTGTCTAGATCCTGTATTTTTTAAAGGTGTAAAATGGTGATATTTGAATTCTATTACTCCTTTTTAATAGCTCTAATACTTCCATAGAGGAAATAGGCATAATGGTACACACACACACACACACATACACACACACACACACACATTTATTCAGTCTGTCTAAACAGAATATTTTATAAGTCAGAAGACCCTATTTAGCAAACACAGTTTTATTGTGTTTGGTTTTCAAACATGAGAGAGATTTTTGTTGTTGTTGGCATTGCTGTTGTTTAATTCTCAAAGGGGTACAGAGTATGCTCAGGACTAAAGTAGCATTTGTGGAAAAGTTAAAGACTACTTCCATAGGAGTGAAATTTTCACCCTCCAAAATCAGTTCTGTTACTAAGGTGGGTCTTTTGTCAAAAGATATCTTATAGTCATTAACCTGGGAAGAAAGCAATCTTAGTGTGACAAGCCATTTCAATCTCCCTTTCTTCCAAAGAAGAGTGCTGAGAGCTGGGGAGAGCCTCCTTTGCATGTGTCCCTGGTCCTTTTTTATGCACGACCTAAAATTCATCACAGTGCTTTTTTTGGTGATGGTACATGCCAGGATGGCATATCAGAATATTTTCTTAGAGCAACAAGGAGACACATCTGTTCAAGTGAATCAGTTACCAGCTCAATTGACTCATTTAGCAGGAATAACAAATTCAAAAGCCATCATATGGACGGAACCACATGACTTCTTTGCCTCTAAAAATACTAATTAAGCTTCTCTTTTTATCCACACCATAGCATCTGTTAACTTACATTTGGTATACAGCAGTTTCTTGTGAAACTTCTGTATGCTGGGAATTATAACAGTTGAAAGGTCATGTGACAAAACTTCTTAGAATTTCAAAATTTGGAGGGATTCTGTGTGTGTGTGTGTGTGTGTGCGCGCATGCGTGCCCGCACGTGTGTGCATGTGTGTCTCCAGAGAGAGTAAACAAGCAAGTCATATGCATATTTGATAGTATAATATAATGTTACATTGGGAAAAACCTGCTTTTTTATATTAAAAATAAAGGAAAGAAAAGCTCAACTAAATTAGATTGATTTGTAGCGGAATGACTTCAAGAACCCACTCTCCAAATCAGAGAAAAAAGCCCACACTCTCCAAAAGCCTGATTTCTTCCAATGTGGACAGCATGTTGTATATGTTTATCGCTGCAATTTGTTTGTTTTAGTTATCTATTGCTATGAAACAAATTACTCCAAAACTTAGTGGTGGAAAACAACACAGATTTATTATCTCACAGTTTCTATGTGTCAGGAATCCGGGAGCAGCTAAGCTGGGGGCCTCTGGCTCAGGGCTGCCATTCAAGCTGTGGGCAGGAGCTGTATAGTCATCCCAAAGCTTGATTCTGGGAGGAGCCACCTTCAGGTTCCCTCCTGTGGCTGTTGGCAGCCCTCCGAAGATCCATTTCCGAGTCCAGTCACATGGGGCTCTCTATGGGGCTGCCTGGAGGCTACTTCAAGAGAAAGTATTCCAGAGAGTGCGAGGGAGCACCCCGGACAGAACCCCCCAGAGTGACATCCCATCATGCCTTTCATATTCATTAGAAAAGAGTCAGGTCCAGCCCACTCAAAAGAGGAGGGGATTGCATAAGGACATGAATCTCAGAAAGCAGAGATCACTGGGGGCCATCTTAAAGGCTGCTTACTACAGGTTCTTTATTTTAAAAATAGAAAACACATTGCCATAGTTAGAAATTCAAAATGTTTAAGAGGGCAAGTAGTGCCCTAACTGGTTTGGCTCAGTGGATAGAGCGTCGGCCTACGGACTGAAGGGTCCCAGGTTCGATTCCGGTCAAGGGCATGTACCTTGGTTGCTTGCACGTCCCCAGAGGGGGTATGCAGGAGGCAGCTGATCGATGTTTTTCTCTCATTGATGTTTCTAACTCTCTATCCTTCTCCCTTCCTCTCTGTAAAAAATCAATAAAATATATTAAAAAAAAAAAAGAAAAAGAGGGTAAGTAGTAAGTCTCCCTCAAAAAATCAATAAAATATATTTTAAAAATAAAAGAAAAAGAGGGTAAATAGTAAGTCTCCCTCGGGACTAAAGTCACCGAGTCCCCCACCCCCTGCCTTGAGCAAACTTGTGTCAGTTTCTTGTGTGTCCTTTCAGAGGGTCTCTGCTGGGTGTGAAGTTGAAAGAGTGGAACTCCACAGGGTGCACGCAGAAAGCCACTTTAATCTTCTCCCCTCCATCCTGCCGGTTCAAACCTGCTTTGCAGGGATAACGCCACTCCACCCCCTGGCTGAAATCTGAGGTGGGCATTATGCCTTTTCATGGCCCTCTCAGATAAGGAGGAGCCTGCCCGTTATTTTTAGTCGTAACATAGTTTTATGTCAGACTGAAAGAAAATGCTGACTTACAGCTGACTCCGAACTTTGAGGTTGAAATGTCTGCCCTTTCCTACCTTAAAGCAGAGGCTTTAAGCCTGGAAGGCTGCAATGGGAAATTGTGGAAGCCTTGTGGTCAGCTTCTCTGTTTTTCTAATTTGTACTTCTCTTTCTCTTCTGCCTCCTTCTGCCTTTGTCTCTTTCTGGGAGATGGGAGATGGGAAATGAGTGAAGAGAGGTTAAGGAGCCTCCCCACCCCACTTCCCCAACCCCCAGTATCAGCTGTTTTGGCTTCTTCAGAGTTTTCCTTAAGGAAGCATCCACCTGTAGCTTTTGTTAGTGTTTGCACATTCTCTCCTGCATTTAGCTTGGGCTTTCAGGGACTGGCCTTTAGTCCTTTGTGCTGAGGTCACGTCCGGAAGCCTCTTGGGCAAGGCCTCCTCCAAGACAACTTCGGGGAAGGCTGGCGTTCTCTCCCCCACAGCCTCCACCTGGTCCCGGGAAGCCCTCACACACCCTTCAGAATATCCTAGACTTTGGAAAACTAAGACTGTTCTTGCTTCTGGAGGGTTTTAATTTTTCATACTATCTCGCTCGATTCCTTTAGGAATTATTATATCCTGGGAACAGGTCCTGTCCGATGTGTCACCCCAGGAATTAAAATCCAGAAGAGGGGATGTGTCTGCTGGTTGGTCAAATGCTTGTTTTGTGTGGGTAGGAAGCGAAAAACTTTTCTTGTAGAACATACTTTCCATATGCTGAGATACCTTTGAAGACAAAATAATTACAGTAATTAAGCCTATGAATTCTTTCAATAGCCCAGCATACTGTGATTGGCCACAGAGGGCAGGGAGGCTGCGGTAATTTCAGGCATGGGCATCTATATAGTTGTGGGGGACACGATTCTAGGACACAGTGGCCTTTTTCTTTCTCTCAGATTCATACAGTGGTCACTGCTGTAAAACTGGCTATCAAGGTGGTGGCAACTTTCCAATTCCCATTCCTAGTTCTGCTGTGGCTCCTCTGTACACATAATCATTTCACTCTGAGTTCACTCCACCTCTCCCTTTTCAATGGTCTCACAAGAGGTCCCACAGGCACCCCTTCCCCAACACCCAGCTGGTCCTTCTCCTGGCTAAAGGCTGGAATTCTTTGGACAACCTCAGCACACAGCTGGCCTTCCGTTGACTTAGTGTTGAGACAGAAATGGAGCTGTTATGACAGTTAGTGCCCAACACTAACCATTGGGCTCCTACACAAACCTGATCCTGAACGGGACCCAGGAGATTCTATATTGTTCACAATGTCACAGCTCAAACCCAGCATCCTCCATGCTAATAATATTTGAGTTTTCAAATACCAGTAATTCTTTTTTCCTCCTACCCCTTTCCTGCTCAGTTCAGGTGCACCTTCTAAGCCTCTATTCTGGAGAAAGAGTTTCCTTCTTAGCAGGCTCTCCATAATGGAATATTGCCTGTGGTTCCCATTTTGGAGATTGAGACTTTATCTTATCCACCAAGATACCTTGTCTGAGGAACTCCTGCCTGCTCACCTCCTAGGTCTTCCAGAGGTTACTCAGAATCTTTCAATTCTGCTGCTTCAGTTGGACCCCTGGACATTCCCAATCCCAAGGACTCTACAACCATCCTGTTTGGTTGAATGTCTGGGATCAGCTGGACCTCCACTCCCAGGCCCTCCTACCAGCTTCTATGGAAGCCCTGTCCTGTTATGCTGGCAGATGGGACATGGCTCTAACAGCTCAGCTGGGCTTCATGGAAGCACTTATGCATACCAGATCCGAGCACAGCCTCCTGAAAATGATATAGGGGGCAATGCTAACAGCAAGTAAGGAGAAGATTAGGGTGATTTGGAGTTGGCCACATTGTAAGGTAAAAAATCCAAAGGAATAAATCAAAGCCAAAGTAAAAACCGTGTAGTGTCATTTAAGTATGCCAAGAGATAAAGCATCCTCACCAAAAAAGAAATCACTTAAAAGTGAATACCATATTGTACCACTGTTAATTTCTTAATTTTGACAAATGTGTTACATTATGTAAGATGTTAACATTAGGAAAAGCTGAGTGAACTCTGTACCATTGTTGCATCTTTTCTGTATCTAAAATTATTTCATAAAAGACATTTAAAAAAGAATAACAATGAAAATATGAAAGCATTTGCATTATAAATAACGAACTTCTTTACCTTAACATTTTTTGGCAGATAAAAATGGCTTTTGAAGAACATTTTGAAGTCTCAGTTCCTGGCATAAACATGCAGTATAAAAAGATGCCCTATAATGCAGTATAAATTCTGGGAAGAATTAATTGATGCTTCATGGAAACTCTTTCTTTCAACAAATAATTTTCTACCTGTTACAGAGCTTGCATATTCTAAGGATACATGAGTCAACAAAACAAATAAAGATCTCTGCTCTCACTGGATTCCTGCATTAGCCTTTTAACAATTCTATGGGGGCAGAAGGAAATCAACAATGAACATTAACATAACCAATAAATAAATTATATTGTACGATTGCAGGTGTTAGGTGCTACTAGTATGAGGGGAAAAAAGAGCAGAAAAAAGGGAGGGTAGCATGCATGAGCTGGGCTGTGTGCAATTTTAAGTAGGGTGTTCAGAGCAAGCCTCACTGAGAAGGTAGAGGGAGCAAAGCATGAGTCTATCAGAGGGAAGAGCATCCCAGGTAGAGAGAATGGCCCTACAGTGGAGCCTGCCTAGATGCTGAAGTAGCATCCAGAGGTGTGTGAGCAGAAGCAGTAACTGTGGGGGAGAAAAGTAGATGAATGAGGAAGGTGAGGGTGGTGGTGGGTGGGGAGGAGTGCAAATAAGTAAGACTTTGGCTTGTACTCTGAAGGAGATGGGGAGATATTGCAAACTTTTGAGCAGAAGAATAACATGATCTGTCTTAGGTACTGCATAACGAAAGGTTTCAGTCAATATTAACCCACATATACAATGGCAGTCCCATAAGATTATAATGGAGCTGAAAAATTCCTTTTGCCTAGTGATGTCATAGCCATTGTCATGTTGCATTACTCATTCGTTTGTGATGCTGGTGTAAACCTACCACGCTGCCAATTGTATAAAATTATAGCACATACAACTATGTAAAGTACATAATACTTGATAATGGTAATACATGACTGTGTTACTGGTTTATGTATTTACTATACTATATTTTTATCATTATTTGTGATTACTTATTTATTGATTGACGTGAGAGAGAGAGAGAGAGAGAGCGAGAGAGAGCCATTGATTTGTTGTTCTGCTTACTTATGCATTCATTGGTTGAGTCTTGTATGTGCCCTGACCGGGGATTGAACCCACAATATTGGCATTATTTTAGAGTGTATTGTTTCTACTTATAGAAAAAAAGTTTCCTGTAAACCTGTATGCCCTTGTTATGGTGGCAGCAACCTCATGCATCTCATGTTTGCCAAGTTTCCTGATTGTACCATTGTCTCATGTGCTTGATTTAATCCCATGTTTTGTACAATGACATGCTGTACAGGCTTGTAGCCTGGGAGGAAGAGGCTGTGCCATATAGTCTAGGTGCATAGTAGGCTATACCGTCTCAGTTTGTGTAGTGCACTCTATGGTGTTCGCACAGTGAAATTGCCTGAGGATACATTTCTCAGAAGTATCCCCATTGTTAAGCTGTGCATGACTGTACTAGAAGAACAATCCTTTTCTGCTTTGTGACTAGGCTCTGGCGGGGCGAGGGCAGAGCAGGGAGAACAGTTAGAAGGCGAATGCAGGAACCCAGTGAAAGATGACGGTGCCTTAGACCCGCATGAACGGTGGAGATGGTGAGCAGTGGTGCGCTGGAGCTGGCTTGTTCCAGTCCTGAGAGTCAATTGTTGCATTTTTAGGGAGTTTGCAAGCCAGTTGAGAAATATGCCATTGTTAAAAATTAAATTTCACAAACTTACAAGTAAATACATTATGTTATAATATTGCATGCAAACTGTAATAAAAAATTAAATTATATAAACTTACAATTTAAAATATTATATTGGGAACGAAAGTAATAAATACCTAAAACTCATCACTTCTTCACTGTCTTTACCTAATTCTCTTATCATTCATGATGATCTCTGCTGCTGAGGTCGCTTGTGTCTCTTCTCTGCACGTGGCACTCTAAGATGGGATGCTGCTGCGCATCTCTTCCCAATTCTGCAGCCAGTGACTTTGCATTAAGAGTCTGTCAGCCACGGTGTGAGTATTTACACCACAGAAATTGACAGATGCTACAAGTCTGGGTTCATTTTGTTTTTAAAGTGAGATGGTTGTTAAGCATTTGCTAGCACACCACTGCGTTGCGCCTTCCCGACTGTACCTAGGAATGTGTGCTCCCACCCCATTCCAGTGTTTTCGGGTTCCCTCACTTCTATTCTGCTCCCACCCAAAGAGGGGAAAAGAGGTTAAATAGATATTATGAATATTACAACAGGATGAAAGTAACCTATTTCTCTTACACTTCATACCATTAATAGATATCTAGCTATGAAAAATCACCATACCTGCAATTGGATCTTTAGTGCCGGCCCTAGCTTTAGCCCCATAGTGCTTCGAAGATGCTCCTCTGTGAGTAATGGCAAAGTTTCGCCATCAATTGCATGATCTTTAAATACCTTAGAAAACACAAAAGGTATTAACTTTGTCTCAGTGTCTTTTAAAAAAATTCTTGTTTTATGTGCAGATATTTTAGTATTGGAGGAGACATTAAGAATGCCGGGGAATGACACAAAATTTTATAAAATTTCTCATTTCAGTTGCTCTCTCTTCTTTGCCCCAGTAGCTCTTCAATAACCCTTGGAGTACATTGTAATTCTCTGTTTATATAACTCAGTTCCAGCCTGGAATAGTTAATAGTTGAGGGCAGGCCTATGTCTTATTTACCAATGTACCTGTCATGCAGTGACTGGAACATAGTAGAAGGCGTAAAATAAACGTTGCTGGACAGATCAATGAATGAACAAATAGTCTGAATAAAGAGATGTGGGTAAAAACCATCACAGACAATTTCATCTCTCACACTTACAGGTGCACTGCTTCCTGTCCACTGCCTTAGCTGAATGGTAGGGGGAGGAGAGGAAATTGCACGTAGGAGCTGTCATGCTGACCTTTCCAACAGAGCCTATAGTTCTGACTGTGCAATGGATGTAACCATGCCTTTCTTTCTTCCAGAAACTAGGAAGGCTGCTGGTGGACAAAGGTTCCAGACAAAAGCAGAGCAGATTGGTAGCACCATAATTTCATGATCTCCAACTTCAACCTGTCTGGCAATCCCTGTATTTACTGATGAACTTTCTCTTCTCTCTATTTCAAGCTTCCTTCACAATCTTCAAACTCTAGATGTTACAGAATCCTCCCTTATTTTCAACAGATCATATAACTTTCTAATAAAAAAAAAAAGAAACCAGTAGATAAGAACTTCCTCTAGTTCTGCCCAATAAACCCCCAAACTCATATTTTCTCCTTCTGTTCTGATATGTGGAAGAGGGGTCCCTCACTGTGGAAAGACAATCAATGTCTCCACATATGATGTGGGTCCTCAACCCTCCCACCTCGGGGTTTCACTCGGTAAATAATCCCTCCCTGGCCTTCAATCTCTCCTCCTTGGCCTTCTCTTTCCCTTTGGCATTTAAGCGAGTCTCCACCATCATAAAACAGGCAATAATAATAATAAAAATACACAAATGCCTCTTTTTAAAGAATATTTTGTTATTGACTTCAGAGAGAGGGAGAGAGAGATAGAAGCATCAATGATGAGAAAGAATCATTGATTAGCTGTCTCCTGCACGCCCCCTACTGGGGATGAAGCTCACAACCTGGGCATGGGCCCTGACCTGGAATTGAACTGTGACCTCCTGGTTAATAGTTCCACACTCAACCACTGAGCCACAACGGCTGGGCCACAAATGCTTCTTCACTCTGCTTCTAGATACTGCCCCATGTCTCTCATTCCCTTTATAGCCATTTCTTCAAAGAGTTGTGATGTTCTCTGTTTCCATATTCTTACTTCCCAGTTATTTCTCAGTCACAAGGAGTCTGACTTCTGCCCTCACCTGTCCATCAAATCTGCTCTCCTCTGGGTCCCTAGTGATTCTGTTGTTTCAAACACATGGATATTTGTCTGTACTCACATGACCCCAGCATTTCTTATGCTGGTGGCTGCATTTGACATTGTTGACCATTCCTTCGTGAAAAATGTCCTTCCCTTGCCATCATGAGGCTTCTCCCTCCTGGGGACCTTCTGCCCTCTCCTCTGCATCACCTTTGTGGCTACTGTTTCTTTGTCCATCCTCGTATGTTAGAGTCCCTGAGGCATCTGACCCAGGTCCTCTTTGTTGTTCCTGATTCATCTCAGTCTCTCTGGGCTTCCGTGAGTGTCTCTCTATGCTGCAGGTTCTCTAATGAATATCTAACTTAGAAGCCAATGGTGGCAATTCTGCCCCTTAGATGGCGTATTGATTGGCCAGCCCCATTGTTTCAACCTTGAATCAAATTTCACTGTTGCTCATCTGAGAAGGCCTTCCCACTAGTCTGGCCACCTTCAACCTATTTTCATAACAGTAACTTGAGTGACCCTTCTGAAAGAAAGCCAATCACACCACTTCTTAAAACCTCAGCTGTCTCTGGGATAAAGTCCATTGCTGGGTCCTCAAGGCTCTTTGTGACCTGGCCCCCTTTCCCACTCCAGCCTCCTGTCTCTCTCCTCTCTCACCTTGGCCCTGGCCCTCTCTGGTTGTGACCTGGCCCCCTTTCCCACTCCAGCCTCCTGTCTTGCCATTCTCTCCTCTCTCACCTTGGCCCTGGCCCTCTCTGGGCCACTAGAAACTGCTCTCAAAATCCCAACTATTTACTACTCTACATTCTCTCTGGCTCCTAGTCCTCCCTGGAAATTCCTCCTTTGCCTCTTTCCTGCTCACTTCCTTCCTCAGCTGGTAAACTCACTGACAGGCCCCACTTTTGATGCCTCTTCCTGGAGGAAGCCATGAGGCGCCCCTGTGTGTGCCGACCATGCTCGTACCTGCCCTCTCCCAGCACGTCTCACCCTGACGTGGAGCCCCTTCCTGGTGTCCCTCTTCTGGATACAAGCTCCCAGGGAGGGGAACCACGTTTGTCTTGTTTCCGCTGTGTGTTCCGGCCTTGGCCGGATGCCACAGGATCAGCTAAAAACTGGAATCTGCTTGGGAAGCTTCTGTGCCAGGAACTTTGTGTGCTAACATATTGTAGTTATTTACAAAATATGTTTATTAATTAATTGTTTCTTTTCCTATTTCAATTAAGCAAATCATAGAATGGCTAATATAAATTAACTTAATTTGGGCCAAAGAAAGAAAATTGGCAGTTTGGGTTAGTCTTGTAGCCTTCTCTTGAAAAAATGGATGATCTTCCTTAGGTTTCTTGAAATATTAAGAATAACTTAAGGGTCTCTTTTACCATCTTTGAGAACTCCTAGGGGCTCTTGACTAGAAACCATCTGGCTCAATATCCTCAATGTAAAATAATTATAATGGAAAGAGCTAGATTTATAGTCACATACACATTTTCAAGTACTTATTCTTTTAGCCACCTTGATGTCAATCTTATTTAGCTGAAAAATAGGGCTAATATATTCTTTGCAAAATTATGGTATAGACTAAATTTAAAAGCTAATCTATAAATGATGTGCCTAGGATAGTGCCTTGCATATAGTCAACTCAATAAAATGTAGGCACTATTATTCTATTTTTTTAATAAATGATAGAGCAACATAGAGAAGGTTAGGTGAGTTGCCTAAGAAGCAGCTTGCCAGTTAGAGAACTTACAAAATAGCATATACTTTACTAAAGGCCTGGTGCACGAAATTCATGCATGGGGGAGGGAGGTCCCCTCAGCTCAGCCTTCACCCTCTCCAATCCAGGACCCCTCAGGGGATGTCTGACTGCCGGTTTAGGCCCGATCCCTGGGATCGGGCCTAAACCGGCAGTCGGACATCCCTCTCACAATCTAGGACCGCTGGCTCCTAACTGCTTACTTGCCTGCTGGCCTGGTTGCCCCCAACTGCCCCCTCCCACCAGCCTGGTCATCCCCAACTGCCCCCCCTACCAGCCTGGTTGCCCCCAACTCCCCCCCCGCCGGCCTGGTTGCCCACAACTGCCCCACCCTGCCGGCCTGGTCGCCTCACACAGCCTGCTGTTTGGTCGTTACTGTTGCTGTGACAGCGTCCCGGACAATTTGCATATTCCTCTATTATTAGTATAGATTATTCTGAGCCAGGATTTTCCCTGCTTAATCCTACTGCCATTCAGAAAAAGGAGTGCTGACGAAAATAGTGAAGTATATTGATGGTGGAAATTTTGCTTATTTCTTTTTCCTTGGTAGGAATTCCAGTGAGCAGTTAAGGGACTATCAGAAAGCACCAAAAGAAGAGAAAGCACAGGGGTAAATTTCCAGAGGCAGTGTGGCAGCCAGGGCTTGAGATGCGTGAGGGCGGATGAACCCTGGGCCTGAGGCAAAGGCACAGAACATGCCACTGTCTCTCAGAAGATGTCCCATTCTCATGAGAGCAGTTTAGGCCTAAAGCACCATATAAATGTGCATATATTCTTAGTAATTTCAGTTATTTTTAGGGAGGGAATATTGTATCTGCTGAGTTCATTTACTTAGACAAACAAAATGGATGTCCCTAAACAGTTAAGCCACCAACCCTTTCTCTACACCTATTTAAAAGGGTTCATTTGAAAGAGAAAAGAAACAAAAATAAAGGGGTTCATTTGCATTGGGGCTTGGGTTTTAGTTGTGGTTATTTTGTTCTGAATTTCCTTTTCTACCTGCAGAAGGCAGGTGGAGGGAGGTTGCTAAGCAGACACCTAAGGCAGAGGTGAGGAAGAAGAAGGTGGGGGACAGAGGGTGTAACCCCAACGAGTGCCTGGGCTGTGAGTAAAAGCCAAAGGCACCTAGAAATAATCATTTCTGCTTCTTGGGGTGGGGAAGGGAGAACTGACATCCTGTTGGTGAGAGATAATGAGTCAGCAAAGCTTGGGTATTTGTGTCTATGTAACTCCCATATGCCCACAAGAGAACATTGGGAAGATAAAGTTTGAAATGTAACATTATTTTTTACAAGAGTGGTTTTTATAAACTTCACTTTAAAAAAAATATTTTTTTTTGGTATTGATTTCAGAGAAGAAGGGAAAGGGAGAGATAGATAGAAACATCAATGATAGGAGAGAATCATTGATGAGCTGCCTCGTGCACATCCCCCAATGGGGATCGAGCCCTTAACCTTGGCATCAAGCCCTTAGCCTGGACATGTGCCCTGACAGGGAATTGGAAGGCAGCTATGCTCACCACTATACCACCAACGCAACTTTCTGACAGGGAATTGAACTGTGACTTCCTGGTTCATTGGTCGACATTCAACCACTGAGCCACACCAGCTGGACATAAACTAAACTTTTGTGATTGGATCACTGATGGATTAATAATAATGAGAGTTCAAACAGATTCAATCCATCAGAAGTCAGCCATAAAAAAAAGTCAGCAATCACATGTACATTATATAGGAAGTTGCTTGTTTCTGGCTGATATAATGATGAAATTAGCACTTACTGAGTATTGACAAAGTGCCAGGCACTCTTTATTGTTTACAACATTCCTATTATACTATCCCTATTTTACAGATGAAAAAACTGAGACACAGAGAAGAGAGAGGAAAATTATCCTAGATCACATGTCCAGAAAGTGGAAAAGCCAGGATTTGAACTTATACTTTCTGGTTTCATAAGTACACTCTTAATTACTACTCCATATAACTTTTTCATAAGTCTCATAAACAAAATCAAAAAAAGAAAAATACTTAACAGCATTACATGAAGAAAAATATTCCCACACTAAGATCTGAAAAACAATGATCTCTAACATCAGTTAATTATGATGTTGTTAACTCATAATGTCCTTTCCTTGCTTTTTTTCCTTTAATACATAAACATATATATTAAGACAATGGTACATGATTTAATAGGCACATTGTTGCTTGAAATTGTGTTATTAAATCACTTGAAAAAGTAAACCATATGCCTGAAAATGGAGCATTGACATAAACTTCAAAAACTTTCCAACCCATGATCTTTGTCACCAATTTTCCCATATGAATGAGAGTACTCTTCATTCCAACTAGCCTGACATTAATGGAATTTTTAAGAAGGTAGTATTTATCTGTGCAATTTTGTATATTGTCCTAGCATGAATATGGAATTTAAGAACAGTTAATCTCCAGCTTTTCAGATCTGTTGCCATCTTGTCCTTTTTAGAATGAAGTACATATTTCCGTTACCTATTATGAAGAGCCTAAAACTTCTGGTACAGAAGTATGTGTCCCTAAGATATTTGTTTATGGAGGAGTAGGGAAGGTACTAGACATTTCTCATTCTTTTTCGATCTTTGGTCTCTGAATCTCCTAATTTGGGGAGAATTCCCACCTCTCAGGAGTCTTGGTGGAACAGAAACTAAAGCTAGACATGGGCTTTGCCAGTTGGGGTGTGGGCATGGGACCATCCCTCCACCAAACAGAGGCTCCTGTGCCAGGATAGCCAATGCCTAAAAAGGGGGGAGAGTATTAGGAATCGTCTCTGGAGGCAAAGTGCAAGTTTGACTGAAGTCATTATAAAGGAAATACATTTCAAAGTATCTTACGTCTAGGAAAATACTTAAATGTAGGTCACCTGAGCGTAGTCTGAACAACCCGGAAGGCCACGGATGAAGCTGTGCACATCACTCACGGTCCACTTCTGAATATCCGCATCCAAAGACAGAGTCTCCCCTCTTGTAACCAGTACATGTGTTCCTTTACAATGGAAAGACGATTGTTGGGTGGTATAAAATTTCCAGGGGAAAGGAGGACACTAAGAGCACTGTTTTATGTACAGTTACGTTAATTTCCTCATATTTTATTACCACAAAGTGAGCCTTTTATAGAGATCTACATGTAAACTCCTTCAAGAATATTAAGAGTTATTGAGAGGTGTTTTCTAAAAAGCTTAGCTGACTCTTTTCTTTTCTTCCTCTGAACAGGGATGGGGAACGTCCAGCCCGAGGGCCATATAAGGCCCACGAAATCATTTGGTCTGGCCCTGCCAAGACATTAGCAGTGACTTGGGCGGGCTAGAAGAGTTCGATGGGGGACAACGGGGGACATAAATACTTTCATCAACAATAAAGATTAGAAAAAAAAAGTTTGACCAAATATAGCAGGCTAATTTTTAAGTTGATAATTTTGTGTGGCCCTCGAATAATGTTATAAGTATCAAATGACCTTGGCAGAAAGAAGGTTCCCCACCCCTGCAAGTCTAAAAGCTCTTTAATGACAACATTATCTTAAGTAAACAAAGAAGTTCCAGAGCAGCTTCCCTCAGATTCCAATAGAGATGCCCCGTGGATTTCATTCTGGAGACTAACACCCCCATGGCCTATGACGTTTTGCGATTTGTCATGCTCTCTAGGCAATGCGGGGATTTAGTCAAAATGGCAAATTCACACCTTGTAAGGAAGCAGTTGGGCTGGTGGCTAGATCACGACCCCCTCCCCCTCCAATCCCTGTATTTTAAAGTATTTTTATCTAAAGAAGTTCTAGGAAACTAGAACTTTAGTGTTTGGAGGGGAGAAGTGCATTTATATTTTTAGGTCAGAAGGTATCATTAACAGTAATGGGCACTGAAAGTTAATGCTTCTGTTTGTCTATTGTTTTATACTTCAATACAGATAGAATTCATACCTTTAAGCAAGAAGCCCCTCTATTTTGTGTTGAAGAAATTAACACCAAATTAAATTAAATTTTTGATGAAAAATTCTGGTAGGTTGCCTCATCTTCCTTATACTTGACCACCTAACCTTTGCTGTAAATTCTCTACATAGCTATATATAGAGAGATTAGTTTCACCGATCTGGCTTCTTGGAACTAAAGTAATAAAATGACTTCAAAAAGAGGTCATTCTAAATGGGATTAAGAAAATAAAGGATAAAAAGAAGCATGATGGTTTTAATTCACTGTGTAATTACGTAAGGTCTTGAGGATCTGTGGTTCATGAGAATCTGCCATTGACCTTGCTCCCTGGATACCCACCTGGCAAAGATGGTTGAGGAACTGGAGGGTAAACCCCATTCTTTTCACCACAGGCTGCAAAAACCTGCTCTGAAACCTCCTCTCTCCCACCATCCCAGGCCTTTGCTTCCATGGGAGCGTCAGGAGCTCCCCAGGGTTCTCTGTGGGTGGGCTCCAACTCTCCACAGGTAATGGCAAGAACTGCAGTTGGCTTTTCGTTGACTTCGCTTGACTTCTGGTTGTTGAGAGCTTCCGTTTCTGGGTCTTTTGCATACTCATCCTCTTCATAGGGAATCACATGAACCTGGCCTACGGGTTTTTCTTCTGCTTGACTTTTGGAACTCTCAATATCACTGTCTAGAACTTTCTGATTCCCCATACCTCTCCTGAGACGACGACATTTCTGCCCCCAACCCTCTAGGTAGTGTGGACCAGTTGCCACTAGCATGGGGTTTCCATGAAGACTTCTCAGGGAGCGTCTGTGCAAATGCAGGTCACCGGCAGGGAGCATGCTCCTGCCATGGCAGGTGGCTGGGCCACTGGGGATACTGGAGCCATAGGGGAATGGTACCCTCAGGCCTGAAAATCCTTTGGGATTTATTTTGTCTATTCTCCTTTGCTGGTAAATGGCATGCATTTCCATTTCCATCCTAAAACAAAACAATGTATTTTATACAACCCAAGAAAACCATTAGAAATAGAATTTTATGGTGATGGAAAGAGACTTGACTTTGGGTGGTGAACACACAATACAATATACAGATCACATATCATATAGAATTGTACACTTGAAACCTATATAATTTTATTAATCAGTGTCACCCCAACAAATTCAAATTTTTTTTAAAGAAATATAATTTTAATGGCCCTCTGCCTTCCCTAGCACCTCTGTTTTTCTTGTGAATCTTCACACTATCTGAAGTTTGTTGCATGGAAACACGAATCCCCCATAAAGCCACTGAGAAGAGAGTTTGGGGTAAGACCTGAGGGTGAAGGGCATGGCTGACTCTCACAATGGTAGTCCAAGGCCTGTCTGTAGAGACTTACTCTAATAGATCTGACAAATTTAACAAGTTTGCCTGTTACATTTATATACATTTCTACTAAAATTAATAATGCAGCACAGGGCAGTTTCTTGCCAGAGATTAATCCTCAAAGAAACTAAAGTTCTGGAAGAAGTTTTTAAAACCTGCCATACAATTTTAGTGGGACTCAAGAACCACAGTAAGTCAATGCAAGTCTCAACAGTTACAAGTTACTGCAAGTAACAGGGGTTGGGGTGGAGGAGGGTGGGCGGACTTGGTGTTTTGCTTACTTTACTTGGCTTATTTGGTCATCACCTGGATCCGTTAGGTTCAGTGGTAAGAAAATTGACTCTTTCCCCACAGCCATACCCTAGTCATCACTGTTATAGTTCCTTTCTCCTGGTAGCTACAACTAAAGGGCACTGCATGGCTGACATGGGGGGCTGCCTGGGCTCTGCTGATGTCTGAAATAGGAGGGGCAAACTTGGCTTCTATCTTTGAGCAGAATTGAAGTCATTTACGTAAAAAATGCCAGTATGAATTTCAGAGGAATCACTGCCAGGCATTTTAATCATGGGACATTGACAAACTATTATGGTCTGTAAACTTAGGTTCACTATGTAATTTCTAATCTTGCTTTTATCTTTAACCAACCAGTGTGTGTGTGTATATCTATCTATATAGATAGATAGATAAATAGATAGATAGATACACACACACACACACACACACATGTTTCTTTTTTGTAATATTCTTGAAATATTTTTCTAGGTAATCATAATTTATCAGAGTGTGTGTGTATATATATCTACATAGAGAGATGTATACATATATTCATTCAGAATGTATATAAATATATATACAACAATATACAAATATAATAAATGAATTAATATATATATAAAAATATATATAACTATATCTATTTACCTATCTAAAACAAATGAATAAACAAACAAGTGAATGAATAGAAAATAAATAAAGCAACACTATTACATTACCTGGCAGTATGCTGCCTTTGAATCATTTCATTCTTCCTGGCCATTGCTTTTAAGGATTCAGGTGGTAAAATGCCCCAACCTTAAGAAAGAAAATCAACATCCCGCTCCACAAACAAATTAATAACATCCATTTGAAAATAATAAAATAAAGTATAATGATTAAAATAGTATTTGCAAAACCACTAGTTGAGCACAATGTTGGAAACAGTAACATTGCTAGTCAGCATCTTAGAGTCATGTTGGTGAGGGCATCATGATAACACTAGACACTTTTTTTTCTTTAAGGTTGGTCCATGATTGGTGACATTTCCTGCCATCAGAAGGAAAAATATAAAATAAGCTGTGGATCTCTTGATCTCTTGCTTTCAAAGTAAAAATTGATAGCTTTCCCCCCTGCCCCCCCCCTTTGGTACAAAAGGAATTAGTTGACCTTTAAAAAAATGTAACTAAGTGTTTCTTGATGCACTGAAATCCCTGAAAATAAATGCATGAGTTAAGGGGATAAAATATATAGTTCTCTATCTGGACATTTTGGTGCATCTGAGGAAAATACTTTTTCCTGAACAATTTCAATGGAGTGGGGTAGCAACTGTATTCTTTGTGTCAACCTACTAAAATGTCTGGAAATAATGACAGCATAATCAGAATTCAAGGCTCTATTCTTGACTAGTAACATAACACTATATTGATTTTTTCTTTATCTGCACTCCTAATGCACCTAGCATCTATACTTGTGTTTCTCAAACCATCTATGGTGAGATAATTTTTTCCTTTTTAAATGTTCAATCCATCATGGACCAATCCTTTTTAAAAATACAATAAAATGATGTTTTAGAAAATGGAAATAAAGATAAGAATAAATACAAGCAAAAATTTTTTAAATCATTAGATTAATAGACATAAAATTACCCTTCAAATTGCCATGAAAGTTTCTAAGCCCTTACTCTCCATTTATACATTTATTTGTACCAACACTTCACAAACTAGCACAGATCCACAGAGTACATTCTAATAATAATAAATACACAAATTGCATTTATTATACATAGCTTTGTTCAACTATATTTTTACTTGTGTAAATCTGTTCTCCCCAAAAGGAGGATAAGTATCTCCTTATACTTGCTCAGTATTGAGCTGGTAGAGCTCATTCAACGATTAATAACAACCTATCTTGAGATAAAGCACACTATATCTTTTTTGAGGTTCTTTGTCATTTTTAAAAATCAGAGGTTAGATGAGGTGATCTCTAAAAGTCCCTCTCACTCTAAAGCTCTATATTTTTATAGTTGAGTGGCTTCAAGATATTCTCCATTAGCTGGCTGACATGCATGAGAGTGCCAGCTCATGGTGTACTGCCCAAGGATGCAGAGAAAGTCTGTGTGAGAAGTCCAGAGTAGAGAGCACAATTCTAATGACCTACATTTTAGGACCTTTTGAAATCTGGACTCATCAAACCTATTCCAAGTTTATTTCTTTTTTCCCAAATAAGTGACCTCAAACTTAGTGCTAGTCTAGCTGCAATAAGTCACTCCCTATCTAACACCCCTATTTTTGAAATAGACCCCTGTCTTAATTTCTATTTTGCTAACTGACTTAGAAGCTCAATTTCTATAGGACTGAGGGCCTACCTTGCCTGTGCTTATTTTCCCAAACATCAGCCTTGAGGTGGGGACCTGACCTATGGCCTTGGGACAGGTGATCAACCTGCCTGTTTGTATCCAAATATTGGCAGTTTCTGAATTCTTCATCTCTAAGAAGGACACTCTGAGTCTGTGGTCTATTTATCTGTTGCCTGTAACCATGGCTTTACTATTTATTGGGTTCTTGCTGCCAGACGGGACTTGCATCCAGAGTCAGCTGTCTTATTTGGTCCTTGGGCCACTCCAGTGTGGGTGTCTAGTTTCATATCTGGTCCTTGTTCAGACACCCAGTCTCACTGCAGTGGACCCATGTATTGTGGTAGCTCAGATCCAGGCAGGCCAGTGTTTCACTGGCCCTGGTAGCAATCATATTTCTTTTCTGGGTTGGGCTTTTCACTCCATTGTATCTATTGAGACTTGTTGGAATTGGGAAGCAGGGACAACCAGAAACTCGCAAATATAGTTTTGGGGAGATAAGATGCATCAGTTTGATCTTCAATATGGTGAGGAAATTCTCACCTCCTAGTCTTTCTTGCCCCTACCAATCACGTTTTCACTGCTACCACGCTACTAAAATAGCTCTTATCAAGACAACCAATGACCTCCACATAGCCAAATCTATTCATATAGTCTTAAGTTTTCCTCTACTTGATCTATGACTGGCATACTTGAGACAGTTGCTCAATTTCTCCTTAAAAAATTTATTCCTTTGCCTTCCAGGCTTCTATACTCTCCTGGGTTTCTTCCCACTCACTGCTTGCTCCTTCTATCTCTCTCTTGCCTGTTCCTCCACAGCTTCCCAACCCTCTTGGTATGTCCCAGGGGTCATTCTTTTAATGTCTATCCACATTCACATTTGGATGATGATCTAACCTACACTTACGTGTGCTGATAACTTCCAAAGTTATGTTGCAGTGTCTCCAGAAGTCCTCCCTGGACTTCAGCTGCCTTCCTGACACCTCTCATTGATTATCTATTAGGGATTTCAATTGTAATATGAACAAAACGGAGCCTATGATATCTCTTCTGCCCCAAGAACTCTTCCTCTCACAGTATTCCTCAAATCAGTATGTAACAACATCACCTTTCTAATTACTCAGACTAAAATTATGTAAGTCACTCCTCTCACCTCTCATATCTAAACTGTGAGAAAATCCTGCTGTTTACCTTCAAAATAATTACAGAATCCAACCACTTCTTACTATTCCTACTGTCACCACCTAGGGCCAATCCATCATAATCTTTCAACTATTCTAATAACCCATTTACTCCCAACAATTTATTCCCAGAACTTTGTCTTGTTAAATTTGACCCCAAACAGCAGCCAGAGTGATCCTGGTAAAATGTAAGTCAGACCATGTAACAACCTTGTTCCAACTCATCAAAAGTTACTCCCTCTTATTCAGAATAAAAGGCAAGTCCTCACTATGGCCTATTAGGCCACATATAAACTTCCCTAAGCCCCTTTAACTCTCAGATCTCATCTCCTCATGACCTCATCAGTTTCTTATATGTATATAAGACAGATAGTAATATTGCAGATTTTCATGTTATTCATCAGTAAATTAGTTGGAGAACAAATAGCAGCCAGAGTGATCCTGGTAAAATGTAAGTCAGACCATGTAACAACCTTGTTTAAACTCATCAAAAGTTACCCGCTCTTACTCAGAATAAAAGGCAAGTCCTCACTATGGCCTATTAGGCCACATATAAACTCCCCCCCGCCCTTTAATTCTCAGATCTCATCTCCTCATGACCTCATCAGTTTCTTATATGTATATAAGACAGATAGTAATATTGCAGATTTTCATGTTATTCATCAGTAAATTGATAGTTGGAGAAGTGAAGCAACTTCCACTTGGTCACCCAGTGGTGGAACCATAATTTAAATATAAGTAGTAACTGCAGAAACTACAAGCATAACTGCTACACCCTGCAGCCTCCAGTTCACAGTGGCTCCATAGATGAGAGCCATCGATTGCTCATACCTGAGTAGACACGATTGGACATCATGTTCGGCATATTTGCATTTGGTTGAACAGAGGATCCAAATTGGTATGGAACACAAAACTGTCTTGGGTCAGTTGGAGCCACAGTGGAAGGCAATACATCTCTAGGGAAAAAAAATGAAATAGATAAAAATGAAGATGTAACTGTACAAAATTTCCATTGCAGAGGCAATGAGATTTTGTTTCCTTGCCATATTGGATTCTATCATCTCTTCCCAAAATGAAGTACAGAAGTCCTGCACTCTCTATTGGTTTAAGTAGAAATAGGGTAAGGAAGATTGGAGGAAGGACTCTACTAAGGAAGAATTGACCCAACTGACAACAACAGAAAAAATAGGAAAGAAAAGTTTTAGGGATGTCTGAAAGAAAAGATCTGACTTTCCATGACCAACATAGTATTCCTTTTTTTAAAAAAAAGTTTAACAATCTCTGAACTTTTTATTGGCCTTCTCCCCCCGACCCCGACCCCCGCCAAGGAGTTCTGAAAAGTTTTAGGGATGTCTGAAAGAAAAGATCTGACTGTCCATGACCAACATAGTATTCCTTTTCTTAAAAAAATGTTTAACAACCTCTGAACTTTTTATTGGCCTTCTCCCCCCCCCTCCCCCGCCAAGGAGTTCCCTGCTTCTGCTGCCTTGACACCTCAAAACTTTGGTGTCATTGACCTTAGACACCACTTTGCCACCCACAATCTTGTGGGTTATGGTCTTTTGGATGGATTGTGTGGAGTTGCTGTTGGCCAGGGTGTTATCAGGATCAAAGTCCTTCCCTTCTTCCAGCAAGAGGATGGTAGATGGCTATCTCAGCTTCCAGCTTGACCTTGATGTACAGCAGGGTCTTGTAATTCTAGCGCTGAGCTGCCCCCCTGTCCTGGTATGGGCCAGCTCTGACTCCAGCTGCAGCAGAATCCTACTGAGCTTGGCATACATTTGCATGGCATAGCATGTCTCTACTTCCCTCAGGCTGTTCTCCGAGGTGGCCTTCAAATTTCTCATAGAGTCCAAGGACTGGGTTGTATGTGTCAGCTCCATGAGTGTCATCTCAGGAACTCCTATCTCAGTGGTCTGCAAGGTGACCACTGTGGTGCTCTCTTCAATCTGCTGGGACCAGTACTTGCCTAGATCTCTCAGTTCTTCTGAGCCATCTGGTCATAGTGGGTCCAGATGTCCACCATAGTCTTACTGAGGTCCTGAGATATGGGAGAATCAAACTCCACAGTCAACCCAGAGTTGATAATCTGGTTTCATAGACCATTTGCTTCCTCCCAGTGTTCCTTCTTCAAAAAGAACAGCTATTCCTTGAGAGTCTCGATCTCTGTCTTGTCTCCAGCTGCAGCCAAGTGATAATGATATTATCACTGACCTTTCGAAGTCCATTGATGTCATTTTCCACAGACTGGTATATGGTCAGCTCTGTCTCATACTTGACTCTGAAGTCATCAGCAGCAAGACTGGCATTGTCAATCTGCAGAAAAATGTGGGCATTGTCCACAGAAATTGCAAAGATCTGAGCCTTCATGGCCTAGATAGTCTCTAACCCAGGGTCCCTTCTTCTCCAAATGTTCCTGGATTTTGCTCTCTAGCCTCCAATTATCAACTTCTGGGATCCTCATCCTTCCAGGTAGGAGGCCAGGTGGTCATTCAGGCATTGCACAGTCTCCTTCTTTCTCTAGATGCCCCTTATTCCCACCATGTCCCTGACCCTCAGCTACCCTGGACCCCCAGCTACCCTGCATGCTCATGGAGAGAGACACAGAGATCCAGGAGCCCAAGCACCCAGGGCCTGCATAGATGCCGGCCATGCTGCTGGCCAGCCTGGCTGGTGGTTGGGTGACTTAATGGAGCCCAGGGTCCAGTAGTTTGTGGAGAAGCTTGAATGGGTGCTGAGGTAATGTTGTCTGGGAGGACGATGAGAGGCCATGTCTTGGGTTTGAGCCACCCCAACATACTGTTCTGACCACAACATTCTTTTCTCATTTACTGGAGATATTTGACTTGGGTTCTGACATCTGGAATCAAAGTTTGATTTCCTGGGTAAATAATTTAATTATTTTGCCAAACTTCAGTGCTCTTTGAAGTCAAATGTATTGTTTCTGCTTCATGAACAGGAATAAATAATAGATGTTTACTCTCTCCTCAGAATGTCAAAATATTCTAAAGAAGGTAAAATAAGAAACTGCCAAAGTGTGCTACATAAATATTGATACTGTCACTTTTATTGAACAGAAAGATTTGTTCTATCACAGGAAATCCAGGTATCCAATTATTATGATCTAAATTGTGTCCCTTAAATCCATATGCTGAAGTCCTACTCCACAATGTGACTGTATTTAGAGATAAGGCTTTTAATGGGGTAATTAAAGTTTAAATGAGGGCAAAAATGTGGAGCCCTAATCTAACAGGACTGCTGTCCTTATAAGAAGAGGAAGAGATACCAGGAGTCCACAAGTACAGAGGAAAATGCCATGTGAGGACATAGCAAGAAGGCAGCTGTCTGCAGGCCAAAGGAGAGAGGTCTCACCGCAAATCAACCCTGTCGCCACCTTGATCTAGGGCGTTCAGCTTCTAGAACTGGGAGAAATAGATTTCTGTTGTTGAAACCACCTAGTCTGTGATATTTTGTTATGGCAGCTCTCATAGACTCTACCAATGTTCGTACCTGCACAATGCTTGTCGCATGGTAAAAGAGCTTGTTAGCTATTTGCTGAACATGTCAAGCAGGCCTCAAAGAGGAAATGATGGGAAATGTGTCGAAGGTACAGTCAGCAGAGTATCTTGACATGAATTATTGCACCACTGTTCACTGAAGTAACATTAGACCATAAAACAACACTGAGGTTAAAATCATCCAAAAACTTAATGATTGCCAGAGGCTAAGACCAACAGTAGTTAACATATTAATGCGATATTCATCAGGGCTGAAAATCAGCATACTATTGCCCTGCTGTTGGCCAAATGGCTCACGCAATCCCCTAACCTGATAATCCTTTTACTGTTTACCAAACTTTACCTTTGATATGCCTGTATGCATTCCTAAAGGGCAAATGTGTATTCAAGTGAATAAAAGCAAACGGGAAGAGAAGTCAGGGAGCCTCTCCATTAGAGAAAGGTTCCCGCCTGGCCCCCCATGCCTTCTAAATTCATATTTCTTGTCTAGTGCATTCGTTTGTGCACAGCCCCTTCTCTAGATCCTGAATCCTCGCTGCAAAAGGTTGTGGCAAATGATTATCCATGTTCTCCTTTGACCATCATATTATGTTGGAAATAAATACCTATCCACAGGCAGAGGTTCAAATGGTGAGGGAAACAGTGGGATCCTTTGCTGCCCTGATGCTGTCAATAAAGGGTTCATGGCCATCGTGGGATTTATCATCAATATCTCTCGCCACTGATGGAATTCTAAAAAGAACCAGATAGATACGTTAATAAATAACTCTACTTTTTGAGAACAATTTGAATTTTTCTTAACACAATGAACACCTTTTGTATTTTCCCAACACTTGGGAAAACTAGAAGCACCAAGCTTTCAGTTACACAAAAACCCTTCTATTGTCAGCACCCAGATACAACTGCAGAACTTAGTGTTTTATCCATGTGCCCTTGAAACTTGTTGCAGCGTCCACAGGTAATAGCACAGCACATTACAGGCAATAACAAAATTAAACCAGCCCTGCAAGATTCCAGAAATACCAACTTCCACTCTTACAGCTTCATTTGATTTGTGTGTTTCCAGAGGTAAAAATGCATATACTCTCTCTTATGTTCAATCTTTGGAAAAATATTCCTAGTAGTTGATAAGATTAAAACAAAAAAGAAGGGGGAAATCTTCTTAATGGCTAACAATATGTCTAATTAGAAAGGATACAGGCTGAAAGCATGAGACTGTATTTAATTAATACAAGTGACCAAGTTATATTCAAACATATATAAGCACAAGGATTCATAACTTTCTCTTCAGAGCATAGTGATCAGAAAAAGAGACCCTTGTTAAGGGGATAATATTTTGCCTTACGTTTTCTTGTTAATTATTAATGTCCCTTGGATAATTTTAAATTTTAAACAAGTATGGGTCAAACAGGTTATTTTAGCTTCTCCTGCATCTTCAGTTGTACTCAAAAATCTATCCTATATAATAAAAGGGTAATATGCAAATTGACCCTAGCAGCAGAATGACTGGGAATGACTGGTCACTATGACACACACTGACCACCAGGGGGCAGACACTCAATGCAGGAGCTGTCCCGTGGTCAGTG